TTATGAGCCCTCTTTTTTTGTATATATTTGTCCAATTTTTGTTTAACAATATATGGTTCGTTATACTATCTTTGTATGTACAGAGCAATCATGACCAAAAGAGCAGCTGATGGAAGTGTAGTGAAAAAAGAAAATTTGACATGGACAGATCATATGGATAATGCTCTCGTTGAAGCTTTGGTAAAGGAAGATTAACTAGGTAATCGAGTGCATGGTACATTCACTTCACAAGCATATGCGAACATGATTGTAGGGATGACTAAAGAGTTTAACAGACCTATTACAAAAGATCAAATAAAAAACCGAATGAAAACCTTAAAAGGTAATTTTAGTAAATGGTATGATATGTATCGGGGTACTTCGTTGAGTGGGTTCGCCTGGAATTCTCACACAAAATACATTGAAGCAGAGGAGGAAGTATGGGAACAATTAATTACTGTACGTGTTGGTTTTACATTTGATTTATTGTTATATATTTTTTTTGTACCACTAACTTTACTAATTAATTTTTGGGTTTGTTTATAAACAAGAAAACCCTGACGCAGCTGCATATAGGACCAAAAAAATTTCAAACTATGATCAGTTGGTGATGTTATTTGCAGATGATAGAGCATCGGGATCAAAAGCGGAAACAGCAAAAGAAAAAAATGCCCGGTTAAGCAAATCCACAGAAATTAAAATAGAAAAAGTTGCTGATGTGGATAACCTAATGGCAAATAATGAGGTAATTCTGGATAAAGAATACAAAGATGATGATGAGGACATTCAAGTAGTGTCAGGAATGGATGTTTCACCCGATGGTAGTTCAAAATCCAAGAAGCTAAAAAGTAAAAAAAGAAAACTAGAAAGAAAACTTCAAGATGAAGATGAAGTAGTAGTTGAACCTGAACCTGAACCTCAAATTCAACCTCAACCTCAAGCACAACCAGAAACTTTTGAACACACTATTGTGCAAACATTTAAAAAAATCGTTGATGTTATGAAGGAAGGGAAGAAATCTCGTGACTATATCGGTGAAGAAATCGAGAAAGAATTGGAGTTGATGGGGTTGGATGTCGATGAATTTGCAGATGCTTTCATATATTTGTCGCGTAATCAAGCCGATGCTAGGACAATTTTTAGTTCTTCAATGAAGATGAGGAAGATATTTCTAAGAAAGATGATGGATGGAGCTAAAAAGTGAATCATATCTTGAAGTTTTATGGTTTTTTTTTATAGTAGTTTGCATTGGACTTCATTTGTAAAGTTGGAATTTTGATTTTCTAGTTTTACTTTGTTGACTTAAGTTTATTTCATTAGTTTGGTTGTTTGATTAAAAAGTTTTTGATTGATTTTGATTCCCACTTTAGTTGATTCATATTGTTTATATGTTATAAACATAATGTGTAAATAGGGGTATAATTGTAATCTTTTTAATTTTCTTTTCTTTTCCCTCCTAACTCGGGAACACATAAACTTAAAATTTTCCTTTCATTTCCTTCGAACTCGGGAACACGGAATAAAGAAATTTTCCTTCCCCTCCCTTTCCTTCCGTCAATATTTTCCTTCCCTTTCTTTTAATGAATTTAAAAAAAACTCGGGAACAAGGCGTTTTGCATGTTGTATAAACCCTGGCGACGATGTGACTTCGTGCCTATTCATTTGGATGAATCCTTAGGAATGAATGATAAGATGATTCTTAGGGTAGATCCTTAAGAATAAAGAAGATAACGGGGATGGGAAATTGGGTTGATTGATTGATGTTTAAACATAATAAATTTATTTATTGTGGGTTGAAAACCCTATATGCTCACCAGGCTCCCAAGCCTGACCCACTCAGTTTATTTGTATCACAGGTATCGATACGAAGCTGCTTTATACTGAGAGATTAAAGGAGATGTAAATCACTAGTGTAAATGAATGTAAGTTCTGTTTATGCTTTTGGTCTATATTGACGATGACATCCCAAATGTTTTAATATGAATAAAAATACATTTCTTCGGAAATACTTTGATAACGTATTTATCATATTTTTCTGGGAACAAATTCCGCAACATCTTTTGGAAAATTACTCTGATTTTATTTTAAAAGCATAAACTAAATCGGTCTTTTCTGGCCGAGAAATTTGGGGATGTCACAGTTGGTATCAGAGCATTAGTTTAAGCGAACTAGGAATTTGTAGGATTTCTAGACTTAAACTTAGAATGCTAAGTGATGATCGTGAGATGAGTGTCTACCATATTTTAAGACACGAGCACTAGTATATTTTAGGAAAGATGCCTAAAATGCTTTTATGTGCTAAACGTTATATGTTTTCCATATATGATATTATTTGTTCGGATCTATGGTATGTTGCCGACCGGATCTGGAAACCTTATGTGTTCAGGATTCTAAGCGTATGACTACGATATTAGAACTAGCATGTAAACGTTTCGGAGTGATAAGGAGATTTATACGTCTATCGTAAATAATGCTTTCCTATCTTAAATTCTCGCCCGGTACACCGAACGTCTGCTTGGGTGTACAAAACGTTATGGTGAAGACTCGTAGAGAATTGAGTAAATGGAGGAAATGAAAGGTTTATGATAGTGAATGACACCTATCGGAAGATATCGTAAGAGTGGTATCTTGCCTTTAGAATGTGTCTGATAAAATAACGGAACATTTAAAGGAGTACGGTACGTCTGAAGTACACCTTCGATTGGCAGGATGATGGAACGATTGGTGTAATTCTTGAAGTTGTCCCATCGTCTGGAATTTCCATCACCAACCGAGTTGAAGTAGAATTGATGATTGAAGATACGCATGGAAGAAGTCCTAGTAGAGTCTAGGAAAAATTTTATGATTAATTGGACGCATTCGTATGTGTTAAATTGTTTTGTGATTTTAGGACTTGGGGACTGCGAGACAATACTTGGGACGAGTATGAGTAGGTGTGAATAGTAGTAGAGATCTATACTACTGGAAGCACATGACTCACACTTGGATCAGGGAAAGTCACAAGGTTACCAAGAAGCTACAAATTGATCTCGTTTTATTCGAGTATGTCGTTACCATTGTTTCGGTAATGACTAATGAGATGATTGTTATTCCGACCCTAGTGGTCATATCAAATTGAGTCCAACTACGATGAGTTTGTTACGTGGTTCAGAGAACCAAGTTCGATGTAACATCTGACTTAAGTCAGAAGATTGAAATCAATGCGATCAATAGCATCGCGCTCGTTGTTAAAGAATTTAGTAGCTAGAAATGCTACATGCTAAAATGTGATTATATCACATTAGAATATGAAGGAAGGTATATTCCATTCTGGGGAAACTCACTAAGCTCCGTGCTTACGATTTTCAATTTACGCTTTAGGTACTTCTGGATCGAAGGGGAAGAGCTCGGGATGATCGCATCACACACACCACGATTTCCGTTTTATTTGACTCTGATGTATTGATATGATTGATTAACATACTCTGATTTTCCTTTATGGTTTTATGAACACGTTTTGGTTGATGGTTCTAATATTATGAAAACGAAATTTTTGGTTTTAAATTTTGGGACGTTAGATAATCTAATAAAAAAACATGGATCAATATGTAATGAAATTCTTGACGATTATACGATGCGTCGATGTTTCAGTATCCATAAAATGCAAAGATGATTAACAAAGAAGATGATAAACATATAAACTGATATCGTGTGGGAAGAAAGTTAGGGTTTGATGATCAATGTCAATTCACTACGAGAAATTGATGTATCAACAACAGAATCAACTACGTACAAAATTCCTAGCTAATTTAGAGACAGAATTAAGAGGGATAAACGATAAACTAATCCCTTACTACTTGTTTCTTGAAAAAATAACCCAATATGTCGTTGATATTTATTTTCTCACTACTTAGAACTTAACCCCACCCCCACCCCCGGTCCCACTAAAAAAGTTAACCAAGTTCCTCTAAAGGAGATAAACTTCTTCTCCCCGCGAAAATGAGATTGTCCACAACTCACTCTCTAAATCAGCCTCCACTCTTCGTCGTCGGTTGGTACTAGCTCTACCCTAACATCGAGAGAGTACTAGAAGCGCGATTACATGTTCCATCGCTAACACCAACGATCTCGTGACGGTAATCAGTGACAAATTCGTGAGGACAATTAGCGAGGAAACTACGACAAAATCAATTGGTTTCATGAGCATTTGTGACGAGCGAATCGCTCGCCGATCTGTCGAAATCCGTCGGTAATCGGTCGCTGACCATTAAGCGACCAAGGTTCTTTTTACGACCAGTTTTCTTCGGCTTTCCGTCCCTGTACCTATGTTTTTAGTAGTGTCCCTCAAATGCATAATGAACTAAGAAGATGATGAACACATACAGTAATATCACGTGGGAAGAAATTTCGGATTTGAAGATTAATGCCACAAAAATGCAAATGTCTATTTCTTAATTTAAGGGAAATATAAATTACTTTTAAACTTTCATAAATATGTGGATTTATTAGATATCTGGATTTTTTTATATCATAATTTCACTTTATTTCTTGTTTATATTTGACCATAATAACCAATAAAAAAAACGAATCAAAACTAGAAATAAAGACAATTACTATTAATAGTAGTAATATTATTATTATTATTATTATTATTATTATTATTAATATTACTTTTAAGACCACAATGTTTTTCAGGAGAAATAGATACAAAAAGTTATCGTTTTTTTAAATAAATATAAAACTTAATAGTTTTATTGATAAGATAATGTTGCTATTTAATGATAATAGACTATAGCATGTTAATGATTTTTATAAAAACATTTATAAAACATGTAGAAATGTCAAGAGAGAAAATATAAAGTAATAACTTTTTAGAATATAATGAAGTTCTGAAATTTTACATAGAGACATAGAGTATTTACTCGCCTAGTATATATATTTGATAACCTTCCACAGTTTATTTCCATCCACGGTCCACCCTTGGCTTCCGCCTTCGACGGTTCCACCTAGCAACTTCCAACTCAAATCCGAATACGGTGATAATGTCCATCTTACCGCAACACCACCACCTCCAACATGCTGCTGCTACAACCGGTCACCATCACCACCACCGCAACCGCCGTGTCTATTGCACGGCAACACCACCAAACACTAGGCCTAAACTCCAAAAACTCGTCGCCAACACAACGCCGGTCATTACTCAACCCAAACTCGATGTCGACCCAAGCCTCAAATCGACTTGGCTTCATCGCGCATGGTTGGCCACCGGATCCACAACAGTAGTCCTGTCCTTAGCCAATTCCATCATCGGATCAATCGACTCACACATCTGGCTCGAACCCATCTTATCTGGATTCGCCGGCTACTTGTTTTCAGATCTTGCTACCGGTATATACCATTGGGGCATTGATAATTATGGCGATGCCTCAACTCCGTTAATCGGTGCGCAATGTGACATGGCTCTGGGCCACCATAAGTGGCCTTGGAAAATTACTAAGCGTCAGGTTGCGAATAACTTACATCTGTTAGCAGGTGGTGTAACATTTACAATGCTACCGATTAATCTGATCTACCATCATCAACCTGTGGTGATGGGGTTTCTGGGGGTGGCTAGTGGGTGCGTCATGTTTAGCCAGCAGTTCCATGCTTGGGCTCATGGAACAAAGAGCAAGCTGCCACCAATAGTGGTGGCGCTACAAGACGCCGGAGTGTTGTTATCCCCATCACATCACGTCGGTCACCACACGCCGCCGTATAAAAATTACTGCATTGTGAGTGGGGTTTGGGATAGGTTTTTGGATAAGCATATGGTGTATGAGGCTCTGGAAATGGCGGTGTTCCACAAGTTTGGTCTGCGACCACGGTCATGGAGCGAACCAGACAACGATTGCATGGTGGAGGCGGAGGCTTCTCCGCCATAAAACGTGTTGTCCATTTCCTAATATTTATTTTCCTAAATAAAAGTTCAATGCAAGTTTGAATATTAAATTAAAGAACTATACACCATTGCTCGTTGCATTGATTAAGGGATACTTAAAGATCAATTGGGTTAAAACGAAGGTCAGAAAGGAGTGGGGATGTCAACGGTTCGCATTAAAATGGGCAATACCAAATGTGTAAGATTGAATGTTAGTTGAAACATAGGGTTCTATGGGTGTCATTAGGTGGTTGGATTGGGGATGTCCCCTTTTGCTTGTCTGATACACGTCCATTTTCCTTTTATTTATTTGTACTCATCTAGCTTCTTGCTAGGTGATGCCCATTTATAAAACTGTTTAGCCGTTTCCAAAAAAAAAGAATGTTAGTTTAATACACAAAGGAATATAAATAAGATTAGATTTTGCTCTTTTATCTTATTTGTTCTTTATGTTCCTAAAGGTCGTTTATGACTTTATGTTAATCTAAATATCAATCTATATATATATATATATATATATATATATATATATATATATATATATATATATATATATATATATATATATATATATATATATCTTTTTTTTTAAATTAATACATGTTTTCTACAATAATTATTACTTGTTTTATTTGTTTGTCAGAGTAAAATGATGTTAGAGGCGGATCCATATTTTGGTAAGTTAGGATACACATTATAAACCCACAAAATAATCTACTTTTCTATTAATATTTCTTTCTTATGCTTTGAGCAAGAGGAAAGAAAAAAAATATATCTAGTGACAGGGGCAGATCTATTAAGTGTCCCGGGGTGTCCCGAGCCACTACTCGATTTTGTCTTATAAGAGTAAAAAAAAATCTAATTTTTATTCTTTGCATTATAGTGCAACCACTAAAAGAATATGCAATATAAACAGACGTAAGATCATAAAATCGTTATATCTCAGTCATTTGTAGTATGTCATTCAATGTAAAACGTATCTCTTCTTTCATTTGTAGTATGTCATTCAATGTAAAACGTATCTCTTCTTTGTTTGAGTGTGTGGTTGTATGAAGGAGTCTAAGAAGATATGATAGGTTGTGGCGCTTGCTCGTAGATAAGGCCGAGCGGAGTGTAGCGGGGAAGGTGGTGTGGGGTACGAAACCGTAGCCGGAACACAACACGGGCGTTGCGGGATCAGAGTGAGGGGAGGCTACCCCGCCCCATCTCTCTTTATTTCATTGGTTTGATTTTTTTTAAACTACTAACAACTACAATTTATATATATATATATATATATATATATATATATATATTATATATATATATAAAAGTAGGTTCATGTAAAAATATAAGTAATTTGTGAAAATAAAAATAACCAATAAGGAGAAGACAAGTGTAATATTAGAATAATATATAAAAGTAGGTTCATGTAAAAATATAAGTAATTTGTGAAAATAAAAATAACCAATAAGGAGAAGACAAGTGTAATATTAGAATAATAGTAATTGTTATATTATGGTAATTTAAAAGTTTACACGGAAGGATAAAATTGAGATTTTACATGTTGGTTTTATGGACGGTTATAATCCTTTGTTTCCACTATCTTTGCTATTCAATCTTCTTCTCTCTCCAGTGATTTGTCCCTCCGACCTCCCACCCACCCTCTCCATCGGCTTCTTCTGCCTGTTGCCGCGAACTCAATACCAATTGTAACATTGAAAGAAAAATGGGGAAGCAAACAAAATCTAAAAGATCAGACTGGTCAATCGGCAAAAGAAAGATAAACCATTTTGGTGAAATCGATCCAATTTTGGATCTAAAGCTTCACATTTTCTCACCAAATCACCGGTTGATGTGGTACCCATTTCACTTTTTTCTTCTTATCTTTTTCGTAGTTATTGATTTCCCTTTCGTGGATTTGGATTTTGATATTGAAGGTTCTTTGTAGGTCTCGGAGGATTTATTGACTTTCATTTAAAATAATAGAAGGTGATGTTTGTCGACCCAACCTTCGCCGAAAATCCAAAGGTGTGGATGGTAATGGTAGCGGTTTTGTGACACACAGGAACATGACAGACTTTGATTACACATGCACCAGGTTTTTTTACTTGATGGTACCTCTCTTTCCTTCTCTCAATAACTCAACGATTGTGGTATCTCAAGAACCCTAACCCAAAATCGGTTTCATTCAAGATATATCAATCTTTTTAAATTATTAGTTGTCACCCTTATCTACGACACAAGTGAGTTAGTCTACTAACAAGATTCGATTTTGTGTTAATCGGTATCATAAATTTATTTTCCTGATCTACTCTTACATCTTCATCTTTTTTTTCAAAATTAGTGATTTATAAGAACAACTATGAAAAGTAAGTGTGAACTATTACACGTCTACATGAAGAGGATAAAATGATGTATGAAGTTGTTGGAGTGTTTTCTGGAAATGAGAAACCTAATATTTTTGTTCCAACAAATTATTTGAATTCATTTCAATGGTTGTATGTTGATGTTGGTGGGATTGTTTTATGTTGATGATACAAGTAGTCTTTCAAGTGCCTTTGAGTCATTTACAAAACTTGAAAACTTTAAAGATGAAGAAATGAAGTTTACATGTACAACTGTAAGGAAAAAGTGTCTGCTGATAAACAACTTATGTTTTTCATTTAAAAAGATTAAGAAATTATGGCTCTAATGTGGAGAAAATAGATACACATGTTTAATTTCCTCCTGAGTTGGACTTGCAGCTAGGGGTGTTGAAAAAACCAATACCTGAATAAATCAGCTGAACCATTTATGATTCGGGTAGACTGGGTTGTATTAATCGAGTTTTGGGTAAGCTATATTGGGTAATCTCTTAACCCGTTGTAATTATAATTTGGGTTTCGGGTAGGAAAGTTTAGAAGCGAGTATACCCGAATACCTGATGTACTTCACTACTCCAGGGACTAATTATGGAACATTTGAAGAATTGAAGGTCTATTACTCTATGTACTCCAATTGCTTCAGCCAATGCTCATTCATGGTAAGTTTTTGGTGTCATGTTTGTCTCTTTACCTCACTTTGGTATTTTAGTTTCTTCCAAACTCATATAGGTTTCTTACAAATTGGTTACCAATGTTATAATGCTTTTAGAATTTGTTAATAGCTTAAGTTGTATGGTTTTCTTTAAAAAATTTTAAAATTCTGTCTTGAAATTTTTAAATGTTGCAATGTAATTTATATAGACATGGCTTTGGTTTTAAAATTGGCATTTAACTCTTCAACTTTTGCTTTCTAAATTGATATATACCATTTTAGTTTGTAAATTAGTGAATGTTGGAAAGAACTTGTGGAATTAGGCTCTGTAACAATTTTTGTTAATTAAATAATAATCTATATGTGCTACTAGTGCTTCAAGTAGGTTAATTTAAAATCAATGATGTGGATCACTAATAGTCATTTAAAGCGCTCAAGTTAAGTTATCTTTAGGCGTAAGTTAACTTATACTACAAAATTGAATTTAATGGTCTAAATATGTGATTTCAATACCATTGAATATAGCTTTCCTTTTTGATTTAAAATAGTAGGGATAAATTAAGTAAGATGCATCTTGGAGTACCTGATGTTTAGAGGTTTCCCTTGCTGAAATGGTTTGATTTTTTCTTAGCTCTGTTCAGGTATCTGTCTAAATAACCGAGCCTACCCAAAATCCTAATAACTGATATGTAATTCACGTTGGGTATCAGTTACATATTCAAACATAAATTACCCGATTGACTTGAAACCCAAAAAATATACGTGATCAATAGCTCTACTTGCAGCCTTGCACATGTGGATTGGAATGTTGCAGATTTGCAGACGTAACAACGATGGCTTCTGGGTTAAAGATGAATGGAGCGATGGTGGTGGTTTGACGTGTTGCATGTTTGGAGACGAGATAGGAAGGAAATTTATGGTAGCAAGTCGTATTTGGTGATCGGTGACCCAAAGGAGATGGAAGTTAGTGAGAGAAAGATGATATGCGATCTTAACTTTTTAAACAAAAAACAATTGTTTTTGTAGATTGAAAATATGAAAGTCATTGTTTTCATCTACGTTTCAGTTTTCTATGGTGAAATTCAGAATTTTCTTTACACTAATATGAAGAGATTGTTATATTTTAATTTTAATTTTTGGTGCATCATAATCTTTCTAATTTATTTTGTTAGAATATTGAAGTCGTGATTGATACAAATTTTGGTCTTAAAGTAGCCTTTTCACTTTGCAAAAAAAATAAAAATGATGATGTGAATAAAAAAAAAGTTAAATTTTGGTACCAAATGTCTTTGAGCTAATTCTGTGAAATAAAATATATGATAACGTTTGATTTTATAGTAAAAAAGAAAAAAAAAGTTTTAATTTCTTCCCAGTCGTATTATGTAATTTAGGTGTGTGTAAGTTATGTGTTAAAAGTGGGGTGGAATGGAAGTTATAATGGATTTAATATGAATTACGAAAATGTCCTTGAAGATAACAGTTTTATTTTCGAATATGATTTATATTAAAACATATGATTAATGATGTGTTATTTTCTGATTGGTTCTTTTTATTTTCGCAAATTAATTGTATTTTCGCATGAGCCTTCCCCTATATATATATATATATATATATATATATATATATATATAGATATATATATATATATATATATATATATATAATATATATATATATATTACACACCTATAAACAACCCATTACTTTAACCTTCAAAATCACACCTTCTCTATCAATTTCTCTCTATTTCTTACAAAAATGACCACAACAATGCAGCCCCAAAATCAGATAGAAGAAAAATCAATGTTTTGAGTTCAAGTACCCCAACTCGAAAACATTTTCGCATTCGATCCATCCCAAACGTTTTATCGTCCTCAACTAGATGTTCTCATTCAATGTCCTCTACAATTTCAAGACCAAAACGTTAGGCAATACTAGCACGTGCAAGTACCAAATGTTAGTCCAAATATGTTCAACAACTTTGTCGTTTTCCGATCAACTTTCACCAAAGCCAAACCCCACTCTATCAATCTCAAACCCAAAGCCAAAGCCTACCCTTTGACTCTCAACCACAAAACCAAACCCTTGATGAGTTGGACGACGAAATTGTACTACAAACTCAACCCCCACCCCCACAACGTTGCAAAGGAAAACAACCAGAGCAAGAGAAGACAGAGCAGAAGCCTCAAGCATTGAATCCACAAGAAGAGTTAGTGTTGACAGAATCTTGGGTTGACATTTCGGAGGATTCAGAGCAGGGAAATGCAAAACCGCATGAACATTTTTGGCTTCCCATTCTTGAAAGATTTCGCATGGAGTTAGGTAAAGATGAGTACCATACCAAACACCAACTTAATTCAAAGTCTCGAGAAATAGCAAAAAGTTTTTCAAAAATTAACAGGTTGTACAACAATCTAAAAACCCAAAGGAGAAGCGGTCAATGAGATGAAGAAATTTTTCAAGAGGCTTTGCATTTATTTCGCGAGGAAACATGAAAGACATTCAAGTTTAATGAGCTTTGGAAAGTGTTGATTCTTAGTCCAAGGTGGGAAAATATGATGTCGACTTCATACTAAGAGGATCACAATCAAAAAGAACAAAAATAGTCTCCAATGGATACATATCTTCTTTTGATGCTCGTTTTGGACTAGATTTAAATGAGGACGACGGACTCGAGCTAGAAGAAATTGTCTGACCAATGGGTAGGGACAAAGCAAAAAAGAAAGGGAAGAGGCCTTCTTCCAATGCATCGGATTTCAAAATGGACGCACACAAAATGCAGAAAATGACGACAATATTTGATCGATACAATCTGAATTTCGCTAAACATTTGGCATTCAACAAAGAAAAAGAAGCCGAAAAAAAAGTGCGCCGAAGGGCAAGAAATTGATGATATGGAATTCTTGATGGAAAAAACCGATCATCTTTCGGGACCGGTCCTTCGAGCTAGTTTTGAATAAGAAAGAGAAGATTATGAAAAAATATTTATCCTTGATCGTTTCGTAAATGTAGGTCATTTTTTAAATGTCGGTTGTTTTTTAAGTTTTTTTTTAATCTTGATTGTTTTTTATATACTTTTTTTTAAGTAATGAAGTATTTTTATTTTAATTAATTTTTATGTTTATTAATCATTTTTAAGGAATTATATTTATTTTTTGAATTATAAAGCTTAAAATTAAATTAATTTTATTTAAAAAAATAAAAGTGAAATTTAATGAGTAAAAGTTGACATCAAACTGAAAAAATGAGTGATGAAAAATAGATAGAACCTCAAATCTAAGAATGAAAAGATCAGATTCTATTAATAAACATCAACACCGATTAAAAAAATAAAAAATAAATAAAAAAAAAAAATTCTATCAGTTCAGATTCACATGCAGGAAAGAACATCTAAAAAAAATTCAAATAAACAATTAGATATAAACAAAAAAAGGAATAAAATTTACAAAGTAAATTCAAACTTACCAAATCAATTCCTTTTAAATTTCTTCGGTCTTTAGACTCTCCCAAACAATGAAAAACATTTTCTTTAAAATTCTTGTACACATCATCATATTTACATGCTTCACTATGCATGTATGCAGGATCCTAAATACAAACCATCAATATAATTAACATCATAATAATATAAAAATCATAAATAACAATTAATATACGTACCAATACTGCTGTCTTGAAGAAGAAACATGCATGAGTGTCCAAATTCCTTGCTCTCTCATCATAGTTCAACACTTCAACAAAACAATCAATAGTCCCAGAAAAGAGAAATTCTCCCGGATATAAGCTCTCGAACATGTATCTTTCCCCACGTTGACCATTTATGCTATGAAAAAGATTATCCCTATTAAAATAAAAATAAAATACATTAAATTTAATATTCCTTATAGATAAAAATATACATAGATATATACAAACACATTACGCTGGATTTCCACATAAGCTGAATAGCCAATTAGACTTGATATTCTCCTCCTTCGTCAAATTACTATCAATCTCAACAGCTCGTACAACAAATGGAGACCTAAGCACTGGAGGTAACGTTTGACTTCTCTTTGGTCTCGATGAAATCATATCATTCTCAAGTTTTTAACATTTTCACTTTTATCATGAGACTAAATTACATTTCCTTTGACTGAAGAAGAACTTATTCCAACAGAAACAGAATTCTTACTAACATAACTATCAACACCTGTATTAACTTTTCGTGGAGTATAGATGTCATCCTCAATTCCTAAATTAAAAGAAGGAATATCCTCAAATACACACTTTTTCTTATGAACACCCTCACAATCCACATGCAACTTAGTTTCAATACAACCAGATTTGCCAAAATCATTAGCTACTCCAGATTTATTACTTCCAACGCTGTTCTTAATAGACTGCCCAAAATTTCGAATTTCCGCAAACTTATCATCACAACTACTGCTTTTGTCATATGACTCAAAAGTAGATTCGCATTTAGAATTACTATGACGAAAAGCTTTATATGCAGAACATAACTCTTTCACCTTCAATCCATAGAACTCTATTATTTTCAGATTTCCATGCTTTTTAAAAGCTTTATCCAGTTTCTTAGACATATCTATTAAACACCACTTCATTTCTGCATGAAACTTCTGATAACAAAAAAAATATAGCAAATTATAATTAATATCTAAATCTGTAAATTTAAACATAAATCTAAGTAATCAATATCAGACTCATTTCACTGCAATATTTTTTAATAAAATCATAATACAAAACAAAGCAATCATGATCATTATCAAAAATACACAATTAATATTACTTACTAAAATTGATCCTCTAGAAACTTCATCAACACTCTTCACTGTAGCAGATGGTGTTCCAAAACCTCCATTCGCAATTTCATTTATTTCTCTCACTTTCAACTGCTCTAAAGTCCAATGATTAATTACTGGATATCTTCTAACCATTAACATTTGCTTACATTGAATCCTATCAACATATAGCAACTACAAAAAAAACAAAAGTTAATAACAAAATATAAATATTAATTATATTTTAAAAATATTAAATCAAAGAATATTAAATGAGATACCGTTAAAAACACACTAGGACCATTGAAGAAAGTCTTCATATCACTTCTGCTCCAAATCAATTTTTCCTCTTTTACACAATTTAATACATATGTACATCAATCAAACTTATCTAACTTATATGACTGAGACAAATACGGTAGAAGCTTCAAATTGCATGCACCTTGTTTGTTACATGATCCAAAACAGGTACAAACAAGAATAATAAAACTAGCAACAAACACCATATCTGCTTCACAACGTTCTATTATCTTGTACACGATATCAGTTGGAGTAATTAAAGACAACGGCTTCTTGAATTGATCTTTCCATGTCTCGTACCATTCCTCATTACCTCTTACATCAACACCATTTAACTGATCAACCCCCATATGCAAACCTAACACCCTATTAACATCTTCCCTTGTAACCAAAATATTAGAAACCTCAGTTTTAATAACCATGTCTAAAGGATCAAAAGAATCAACAACAAAATAACATAATTTTGTTGGAATACTTTGTGTCTTCATGTCTAGCAATGATCCAAATCCTAAACTCCTCACACATTCTTTTTTATTATGATTCATTGAATTCACAACGCCATATATAGAATGAAGAGAAACACGAGAATACAATGATTTTATTTTAGCACAATTCACCTCCATTTTTTTTTAACTTTCTTATCAGCTATCTTATCCATCCTCTTCACGCTACTACTGATACCATCCTCAAAATCAGAATCACTAGAAAAGTCTACAACAAAATAATCAAGATATAAACCTTTTTAAATAATATAAAAAAAATAAGAAAACCAAATCAATAAAGAAGCAGCAAATTAAAAAATAAATAACGATATACTTAAGTTTACCATGTTCGTAGACAATTCTTTTACTAAATTTTTTATCACTTCTGTTAACCAACTTCCTGCTCCTTGTAATGCTCCGAACTTCAAAATCAGAATCACTTAAATAATCTAAAATATGTATAACAAATAAAAATATTAAAATCTAAATTACTAATTAATTTAAAGAATAACACAATTAGGATAACTAACCTTCTGTATCAGATGATTTTGAGTTTAATCGACCAAACAAACCACGTTTTCTCTTTTTCATTGAACTATAAACATACTGATAAACATTATTCCTTGGCTTTTTCTTCTTCCAAGAATTACTAGATGAAATGTCAATTGTCTTCTTCATAGAATTACTGGAATTAATCTCAATTGGACTCTCATTATTTAAAAATAGAGGCGGAACAAAATAAAAACAAATACAATCTTAAATATGTCATTTTATAAAACTTTAACAACAAAACAAAATAACTTACTCTCCTTTTTAACTTCACCAGATTGAAATTTTTCTTCTTCTGATACTTCATCATCATCTATTTCGATAGGATGATCACGAGAATTAACCATGAAATCAACTTTGTCCACATTATCATTTAAAGAATCCTTCTTCCTGGAAACCATTTTCTGTGATGCAATTGGAAATTTCTTCATGAATTTTGAATGCGAACTTACCCTATTCTTGTTAACTTTCGCATCTAACAAAGCTTTAAACGCAAACATTATGTTGAATAAAATAAAAATACATAATCTATTAGTAGAGAAAATTTAAAAGGAAAACTCTGAAGAAAATTTGAAAGAAAAAAAATGTAAATCTTCATACAACAACGTATAAACGGTTACATCAATTTGAAAACCGACTACTCAACCTTCACCGACGGTTATATTCATATTAGATAACTACATGGATAAATTACATTTATAACCTTTTATTTAAAATAAAATATAAAAACCAATAAATTACGTGTGAAATAAAAAAAAAACTACTCATATACACATGCTTAATTCCTATTGGTTCTTTTCATTTTCACATCTTATTCTCATTTGTACGCGAACCCACTTCTCTCTCTCTCTCTCTCTCTCTCTCTCTCTATTATATATATATATATATATATATATATATATATATATATATATATCACAAATATATGATAAACGTGTGTCTGAATTTTTTGTTGTTTTAAACTATAATACTTGTTTTCACATCATGTTTTGTTTTGGAATTTCTTGAAATATGATAAAGCTTTTGAGATAGATAATTATAGCTACCACAAGAAAAAATGTTTATTAGGTAGAATTTTTTATTATTCCGATTCGATTTTATGATTGTGGTCTTGTAAAGTAAAAAATGATCGTAAGTAAAATCTCAATCTTAATAACCTTAGGTCCAACAACAAATAAATATGAGTCAAGTTACAAATTTTATCAAATCTAAAATACTTGATTTAAAGTTTGGATTTGCTTACTGTTGCTCAAACTAATTTTTTTAGTAAGTTTTTTTTTGTTTGAGTTCGTTTGAGTTTGATGGGTTTCATGGGTTTTCCTGTCTTGACCCGACCTGACACGAACTCATTTGCTAGGTCTATATTATTATATTTGATTAAAAAAAAAAAAAAATGGTACCACTACTCTTAGATTTTCATGTGTCCGCCGTGTCTAGTGTCTTGTTTCTAGTGAAAGAAAAAAAAAATCTGGTGGAAACTAAAAAGCCTTTCATTTATCTTTGTAAATGGGCTTACGATCGTGTATTGTTTATTAAAAAACAAAATTAGAGCCCGATATTGGCCATATGTTATGATTCTTGAATTTTGGCATGCAGGGCTTGAGGCCCCTTTCTTTCCTCTAAAGATGGACAAACGCACTGGTTTTTCTTAAATAAATAAATAAATAAAAATGAAAATAACCAAACGTATTTTTAACTGATTTTAGGGTAACCGAAGTGGTTTTTAACTGGATTTCAAATATATGCAGTAAACACAAATGAACTTTGGCCTTGAGTAGCAAATGACATCAAACTTTTAAGCCCACAACTCACCACCGAATCAATGGAAGGATGTGTTTGTTTGAAGGATTATTTGGACAACATTGAAATGATACAAAATTTTGTTTCACTCAGAAGACTACTTTTACTATCTGTCGGGTAGTTCATCTATGAAGAAGAGATTATCACCTCCAATTACCAACGTAGATGATGTGTCATTGAAGACTTAGAAGTGCATGTCAAAGCCCTTTAATGGCAACTATATTCCGATGTAAACAACCAAGAGACCTAGGTAACAGATGCACTCCATTATGAAAATTCTCTTGAGTATGTATTATAATAAGTTAATAACAAATATAGGAAAATAGTTTCATGTACATATCTCCAATGATTCAAACAAACACAAAAAATCAATTGTCCCCAAGGTTTTGTAATAAAGCAAAAGCACATGAAAAACCAAGCAATTACTGTATAGTTTAAAAAAAAATAACTTAGAACCACCATATAACGCTTAGATCTATACAAATTTCATCATCTTTGTTCGTGTATATTATGCAAGAAAGGTTACCAATTTATAGTTTGCTACCAATTTATGTGTTATTTTAGTTAACTTGCTAAAATAATGCAAGAACTGGTAGCAAACTGAAACATTGATACATAAATTAGTAAAAAAAAAAAAAAAAAAAGTGTAGCTTCTTTGCATAAATAAGTTGATTATATTCAAGAATGAAAACGAGATACTATTTGTTTAATAAGTGTTGCATACTAATATTCCAGGCTGATGCCAACTGCAATAAAAGTTGGTCTGGCATCAGACCTTCCCAGTCCTGTGGAGGGTCAATAGTTGTCGAAGCTTCATTCAAATTCACCAAAATCTCCCTTTTCACTTCCATACGAATTCCTATCACATCATTTCCATTCTCTACAATTGTATCCAGCATCTGCAAACATAACAGAAACAGAAAAAAAATCCATAAATAATTTTTTTTTTTTTTTTGTGTTTCTTCCATACATACTCATAAGTGTAAATTACCTTTCAGCCGTGAAGATAAAAAAAGTCAGATAAAGAGGTCAGTCATACCTGTTGAATCCACGACAAACAGATGTCAAACAAGGTAGGTTCCAAAAGGAATTGAGCAACCGCATGCAAAACTTCACTTGCCACATCACCTGACAGCTGGTCAACCACGGGCCCCGTCTTGTCCATTAGCTTCACAAGCAAAAGATCATCACCAGTAGACAAAACCTCACCAAACGCCACATCCATGTCACCTTCACAAACTCCATCCATTGCATTTCTCCAAGCATTCAAAACAGCATTCTTTTTCTCATGATCAGGTGCAGTTGCAACCCCTCTAATTGCTTCCAAAGTGGCTTCATCTTTTGAAGCTTGCCAAACGCCTCTTGCTGAAGGACCAGGTCCAGCCCCTTTAGGCAACCTATTATCCCTATCCACCCCTTTTCTTAACCCTATTTGCATATGTTTATAATTATATCCCCTACCACTCATACTTGAACCCATGTTAGGGTATTCAGAGAACCCATTGTGATTGTACTTTCCTACCATATGATTACTACTACTGCCTCTTTGACTATACATTGACACTGATGATAAACTGCGTGACATGTCTTCAACAACTCTCTCTAGGCCCCACACTCTGTTCTCTAAAGTCACCATACCATCATGTGATCCACCTTTGAAATCCTGCAACATGTTCATGATATAAGCTTGTTGTCTCTCCAGTTGAAGTAACTGTCTTTGGATGCCCAACAAATTTCCTTTACTCTCTAATTCTCGCTTTCTAGAAGACGGATCACCACCTTGTTTTTGCAAGTTGACCGGTTCCTCTTTTGACTTTGACTCTGCATTGATGTCTGGTTCCTCTTCGTTTTGTGTATTTGAAGATTTGAGGAGTCTACGGGGGAGAACGACTTCGACTTCACCTGAAACCCTAGTTTCAAGTCTTTGAAAGAACTCAGGGTTCAGTTCCTTATCACTTAAAGGAGGTGGCTTCTTTTTTGTCCCAGTTGTCTTTTCGGATACATTTTGAGATTTTGTTTCACCATTCTTTGGTGGGGTCTCTGTTGTTTTAGCATCCAATTTTGGAAGCTCCTTTCTTGACGACTTGGATTGTACTTGAGAATCTTCACCATGACCAGGTGTTTTTTGATCTTCACAGCTTTCTGCAATTTGATTCCATAGTTGCAGTGCTTCCGTTATGCTATCTCTAACAGGTTTTATCTGCAACAATTAATCCAGGATTTTGATGTATTCAACAAAATGGATATTTTACTTGAAGGTAGTTTATGGAAAAGAACCTTATCAAAGCGGATTGCTTCAAGTATTGTTATCGTAGAAGTTGGTTTTTCTTTAATCAAGTTACTTGAATGCAAAGCCAATACAATTAAAGTGTCAGCAGCTGCCTTTCGAGTTGACCAGTCAGAGCTACTAAGACATTCATGAATGCTTTGAAGCAGTGGCTCCAAAGCTTGTGGAGAAATAGCACCAACCTGCAAAACCCAACAAGTGTCATAATTAAGTGAGTAAATTTTCATGAATCAAATGCAGGTATGGAATTCTTTACACACAGGAATAATTAGGTAGCAAAGCATTATTGACCAAACCTGAGAAAGCCTTGAAACCACAGGCAAAAGGGCAGAATTTGCCAAGAAATTAGGACTATTAAGGAACTTGCAGATCCTACTACAAAGCTTTTGAAAAGTCAAGACCGGTGGATCACAAGCCATTTCCACCATCTTAGCCATACACGATGCTGCACCAGCTTGTACAGCTTTGTTCTGTTCATTCATAGCTTCAAACAAAGGCTTCACAAACAACGAAACCACAGACCCCATATTATTATCACCTCTCTCACCCTTCAAATACAGAAAAGAAAGATGTCCAATTGATTCACGACACGAATCTTTAACACCGGAATCGGAATCTTTAAGCCTCTTGACAATGTGGGCTATAATTTTTGTCAAATGGCTGGCAGCTGATTCGGTGTGGGTGGCGCAGAGGAAGGAAAGGAGTCTGATTGCTTCTTTCTTTACGGCGGGTTTGTTGGTGGTGGTGTCGTTGGTGGCGTCGTAGAGGGAGTTGAGGATCATTGATATGCCGTCAGGTGAGAGGATTTGAATGATGGTTTCGAGGTCTTCGACGGCGATCTGGTGGGTGTCTCGGTCCGAGAGTCTGGAGAGTGATGTCAAGATTCTTTGTCTGAGTTCAACCATGGCGAGATGAGCAGATAGTGAAGATGATCTTGAAGAAGGTGGAGATGGTGTTACTGGGGGTTTTGTGGGTTTTACAGATTTGGTTGACATTGTGATTATGGGTTGGTTTCGAAACAGCAAATGAAATTGGCGGTGGTGCCTGTGGTGGTGCAAAAAAAGAACCACCAGTGTAGAAGAAGAAGGAAGGGTTTGAAATTGGAAATTGAAAAGCCCCAACCCCAACTGCTTTTTTAATTGGGTGGTTCAGTAATACCCAACGTGAAAGCAACGATCAAGATTCTTAGCTGGAAAAATCAAAATCAAATTTTGAATTCGGAAACTGAAAGTCTAAAGTCTAAACCCACCCAATTGTCTTTCTAATTGTAATTTCTTATTGAAATATAAAGTTTTTGAAATATTGTATTATTATATTATATTTGGACAAATAATACTTCAGAAGATATATTTTAATTAGTGTATAACGTAGTTTGTTATATTGTATTATTATACTATATTTGGACAAATAATACTTCAGAAGATATATTTTAATTAGTGTATAACGTAGTTTGTTATCATATATAAGAAACTAAAACTCAATATCTCAATTTCTGTTTTAGGTTATAAAACCTTTTATATATCTATAAATTTATAACATAAAATCTTTAATGTTTATATATACTTTTTCTAGCATATAATTAACTAAACGTACATATATATTATATATGTGATTATTCTTGTATGTATTGTTAAAAAAAATCTAACATTTAAGAGTAGGTTATAAGTTTATAAAAAAATAAGACGGACTCTTTTACTAAAACATATATTTATTTATGTTAATTAAGTCATTAATCTGCAACGTGATATCTATTTTTAACCACTAACTCGGACACTATTTAATCTATTTTTCAATGGCTTTTGATACAACAAAACTCAATTCTCAATTCTCATGAGATATATTGGTAAAAAGTTTAAATGTAGATAGCCTTACCTCTACTCAATGATGGAGATTGGAGAGTGTAGACCTCCTCAACAAGATGAAGTGTGTGACATACACATATGAATAAAAGGGTATATTTTAAACACCATTACAATTAATATCATTATTATTGATAAAAACCAAGACTAGTACAGTAGTACTCTAGTAGGTTGAGACTTACAATGAACCTTTTATTGAGTAAATGAGTTATGAGTTCATATAGATATAGTTCAATACCACAAAAGTCCAACTATATTTACTTCCTAGTGCTGATTTTTTCACTTCTTTTTCGTGAGGCTCTACCGAGTGATCATGAACATAATTGGGTGGTAGATGGTGGACCTACAAAAACACAACAACTTACTGTAACACAAACTTTATTCTGTAGACTGAAAGAGTAATAGTAGATGAAAGTACAAATGCAGGAATTACCTCATAACTCCATTTTATGATTCAAACTCCATTGTAGCATCGGGAATTGAGTTTTATATGTCACTGATACATTCGATACATTTGGTTTTCTCGCACCAGAGGCGGTGGAGCTCCTTAATAGAGTCCAACGGATCATGCATTCTAATGTCATATCTCCTAGATCTACAAATGTTGTTTTCAAAAGAATTGGTTTTGCCATCCAGAAATGGCTAGCGGCGCAGCTTGTTGCCCGTTTGCCTTCAATCGATATGTATTGAACTATAACATTTCTATGGTTTTTATTTTTCGAAAAAAAATGTCACTGATTAAAACGTTTATGTCTTATATGTCACTGATGACTGAAGTTTGAAGAAAATAGAAGCATCAGAAATACAAGGATAACCATATATTTACATAAACCACATATTATCAAGCCCATTCAACAATCAAGTAAAACTTTGAACTACTACATTTGTGTTTCTGCTAACAAACATTTATCATCTCAAAAGAACACAATGATATTATACATTGTTAATCTAAAATCTCAGTAAAACAAAAACGTAACAACAATAACTTTAATTTTGGGTGTTGAAGATCAGATCATGCCTTTTGAGTGGTAAAACTTAGAATGAAGTTCTTGATTTCATCGTTTACTGCTTTATCAAGTGCAGTCTTTCCACCCGCATCTTTGACATCATATTTGGCTCCAGCTTTCAACAGCTCCTCTATTTTAGGCTTGTCGCCTTCAGAGGCAGCCATCATCAACAAAATGTCAGCAGGGTGAATGTTCATGCTTAAAAGAGCTTCCATCTTATCGTATGTTCCCTCAACAGCAAGCATACCCATGTAATTGAAGTACTGCATAAAATTAAAATTGACTAAAACATAATATTTGGAAAAATTGGGGCCAAATGTAGGTGTCTCATGACCATACAGCCATGGAATTGCCAAAAGCTTTCAATTCCACATCAAATTTGGTGTAGAATACAATGAATCATCTTTTTCACTTACTTCAACAGTATAAGTAAGTGCCCAATACATAATTCTAATGTCAATTGTCATAAATTGCTCCAATAATCATTAATTTTCATGGAACCCAACACATGAAGTCTAGAATTTGATTCTGTAATGTGCGAAAGCGAACAGAAATTTGGAAGAATTCCATACAATTGAAACAATTAAAAAAGGATACCTGCTCGACATCATCCCGGTCAAAATCTTCGCGGGATTGACTGCCGTAAATACCAGCACCCTCAGAATCGACGCCATTTTTACCGAACTTGAACCAACACGTGGTTCTTGAACCACAACTAGGTCCAATTCTTGAAGTTCGCCTGCAAAACCCGAGTCCTTTACGCATTCCCACAAACTGTGAATTGAGTTTACCAAGAACTGGGATCGAACTGTTCATGGGTTTTGTGTCTGTACTCGCGAAGATGAGTTGAACAGTACATGGAATAGTCGCCATTGTTGTACTTCGCTGTATGAAGAACAGAAGACGGGAGGAAATCTCTTATCACCACAGAGTGGATATACCTGCCAAATGCCCTAACGTAAATTGATATATATAAATATTAAAAGGATTTAAGTCACCAAATCAGAGTGGCGCAGCGGAAGCGTGGTGGGCCCATAACCCACAGGTCCCAGGATCGAAACCTGGCTCTGATATAGAGAAAGCTTTGAAACGCCAAACTTTTTTTGGTTTAGATTGCTAAGCTTGTTAGAATATGGGTGACTTTTTTATCATGATTTGACCACTAAGCTCATTAGAACTTTTAAGAACTAGTATTTATTCTTATGTGTGTAAGTGGATGACTCACGACAAAACGAAAAGAAATTTTAACCAAATTGTAATTTATATTCGTATCTAGTATAAAAAAACGTGATGCATTGTCGTGTTCATGTGTAAAATTGACACAATATTAATATGTGTGTGTCGGGTTTTGTATGATTATGTACGAATTAAATAAACTAATAATTATTGTATATTGTATTTGTCGTGTTGGACGTGTTTTTTTAGTTATACAGAACACGACACTGTTTCATGTCGACTAATCACTTGTCAAAATGAAATGAAATTGTAGTGAAATTAAAATTCATGTTCGTGTCTAGCATACAAAAAATATGATGTCGTATCGTACTTATGTATTTGTATGTGTAACACCTTATTTATAGTATGTGGCTTATCATTTAATCTTCTTTAAGTTCAATTTGATTTGGGATTTTGGGAAGGTCGCAACGCAACTACCTAGTGGTCACGGTACGTACCATGTCAAATAAGTAACAACACGACCTTATGTAGGTCGCGACACGAAGCCGCTAGGGCTCAAAACTCAAGATCTCGGACCTTGGGCCCTATTTGAGGAATGAAATTTTTAGGGTTTGCTTTATTCTCAGTCTCCACCTTCAGATAACACTCATTTCAAACCCTAGCCTCCATCTTTTGTGTTCTTAAGCTTTGTGTTCTTTTTTGTGCATCTTAAAGAAGTAGAAGGAGCCTTGTAGTGCAAAGGAGCTTGATTCAAGAAAGATCAATCCATTTAAGTATCTACTTGTAACTTCCCAAAAATTACAAAGAGAATTTTCATTTTAAAATAGATTAACTGATTATACCCTTGTTTCAAAACCATTGAATAACATTTGATTGATTGAAAATCATACATTATCAAAGTTAAGTTCACAAAACTGCGGAAACGAATATCTTCGATGTGTGTGTATAGTCCAGCCGAGCTCTTCTCATGTACGACCTGCTAAATATTTAATCTACAACTATAAGCATAAAGCTTAGGGAGTTCTCCAATATGCCACATATTCCATCATATAATGCATCCACATAAAGTCGTCAGATCTAAGTTGACTTATCAACATACATACATTCATTCATATCAATACAGAACGTGTGAACGTTATTGTCCTCCCATAGTCTTAGGTACGATTATCGTTGTTCTCCCATGCTCTTTCATCCAGGTGTCATGGTCCTCCGATTGTCCTCTCATTCTCTTTCCTACAATTGTTAGGGGTCGAATCATGGTCTTTCATACACTACAAAAAGTCATATGGAGCCAGAGATCATATAAACAGTCAAACAAATGATCCACCCGAGAGCGAAATCGGACAAGAACATCACAATAAGGCATTAGACTAAGAGTTCTCAGGTTATCCAACTTAAACTACATAGAACCAATGTTATCATTACCACATAATCATGTAACATAAACACATAACATATACTACCATATTACATATCCTTGGTGGTTAGCCTTCCCTAGTTACCCTGCTATTGACCACTTCTCAATTAAGTCCTTCGTTGGTTAATCATACATAACCTTGATAACTGGTCTTCCCCAGTTACCCTAACCAATTATAACTCCTAACAGTATCATGCGATCAACATGCAAGACCTTACTAGTCTACTACACCAAGACACTAAGTGTTCTAACTGTACATGCATAACATGGAGTTTATCCTTGTCAACTAGCATACTTGTACCATACAGTTCCTCTATCCTATTATGCAAAGGATATACAGTGGGATACATGGCATAGTGAGAAACTCACCTGAACTAGAGAAACAGAGAAACACGACAACACTCTCACACATTACACTGTTCAATCCTACGAACCGACTAATACCAAAAGAGATGAACCCTCAATAAACAACCCAAATCCTCCAAGTTTGACCCCAAGTCAAACTGGTCAGAAGTCAATGGTCAACGAAAGTCAACGGCCACCATGACGTGGAGACCTCTTGGCCACGTCTTGGGCATGACAGGACAAAATAGATGACATGCAAGACATCGCCATGTCGTGGTCCTGTCCGGACAAAACAATCGTGAAGCTAGAGTTCACCACGTCGTGGTCATTCCTTGTCCACGTCGTGAT